TGATTAGAGCGTCGCACTAGAGAAGCGAACGTCACGGGTTCAAATCCCGTCGTGGAGCATTTTCGCCCCATGACGACATATATGATTTGACCCGGCTCGTACAGTGAAAATCCCCGCACCGATTTCAAACCCTAACATTGGTATCGAAGCGACGGTTCGGAAACCGCCTCAGATGTAACGGCATAAGGCACACGATGTGACCTACGCTAAGATCGCGTATGCTCGGGCACGGTGATGTGACCTGCGCTACGATCTGATACGGCGAGATAAACAGGCGCCGTGAATATATTATCAGTATACAAATAAACACTGCAAAGTTGGACAGCAATGCAAGTGTACGGATGAGCGGGTTTGAGAGTGCAGTCTCTCTAAGAAGATCTGCTGAAGCACAACGCTTCCTCACTTTTGTACCATACGTCTCCCATCATCTTAGATGGTACCGCCATTGGGTTGTGAACCCGAGACGTAGGTTGAACGACCAGCATGGTAATAACGACTAGTTCGTTCACGACAAACAATCTACTATGATGCGCATACGTATTATACATATTACTAGGATAATGTGTGTATAGATAGAGATGTATCACACATACCAATACCAGTACACAAAGTATACACACTCATTGCCACGCTGAATACTATTGTGCATGCCACCATCATTGTTGCTTGGAAATTATTTGATAGTATCATCCGTGAACGTATAATGTAGTGACACATGATCATGATATGTATGTCTACACTCAGGCTACCTTGACAATGGCTATGGGTTGTTGACCGTCACTCATTTCATTATTCATATTTGTTTGACCACTTACGGCTACCTCAACCACTTATGCATTATTGCCAAAAACGGTTGGCATATGCCAGCGGCGCGCTCATGCCAAGCAGATCCTATTAAGCTGTATATGTATATATATGTATATATACATACATACATACATACATACATACATACATACATACATAGGGTGCCCCTGTTTGCACGTTGCATTCCCACAAATGGCGTGGCAGGTTGTATATAAATGAATACATATACATAGATATATATATATATATATTGCATTGTCTCCTGATTGGCTCGCCCAGGGCCTGCCTTTTCTTTGGTGGCGCTCATTTTTTGTAAACCACTGTCCTGAACGTGGTACGGTAGAAAGTACACAAAATGTATTAACTGCATCAGTACAATCGGCTGCATGGATATCTACTTACGTACTTAGCCCTCGTAACTATTGGTGCGATAATGACAGCGTGCCTAATCTGCAATCAATCTGCCCCATCGGAAACATTGATCATTCAAACATCCCATGTCCAATTTCTTTTCTGATTATCGTATATATGATATTCTAATTCTTTTTCTATATGCGTGGAGTCGCCATCTGTACTTCATATACAAGTCTATGCTTGCCATCCAAGTGTATACATGTTGCTTGGCAAATATCGCACAATGCGTGGTGGTAAGCCAGAGTGAAAACTATATATGTATGCGAGGAACGCCAGTCCATGCACTATCCACAAATATTTGCCTCAACCGGCAGATGCCCAAGGACACACACACACACACCCACACGACCAACCAACCAACCGACCAACCAACCAATGTGTCTGCATAGCATACGTCTGCAAATCTATATCTTGCCACGACAAACAATCTACTATGATGCGCATACGTATTATACATATTACTAGGATAATGTGTGTATAGATAGAGATGTATCACACATACCAATACCAGTACACAAAGTATACACACTCATTGCCACGCTGAATACTATTGTGCATGCCACCATCATTGTTGCTTGGAAATTACTTGATAGTATCATCCGTGAACGTATAATGTAGTGACACATGATCATGATATGTATGTCTACACTCAGGCTACCTTGACAATGGCTATGGGTTGTTGACCGTCACTCATTTCATTATTCATATTTGTTTGACCACTTACGGCTACCTCAACCACTTATGCATTATTGCCAAAAATTGTTGGCATATGCCAGCGGCGCGCTCATGCCAAGCAGATCCTATTAAGCTGTATATGTATATATATGTATATATACATACATACATACATACATACATACATACATACATACATAGGGTGCCCCTGTTTGCACGTTGCATTCCCACAAATGGCGTGGCAGGTTGTATATAAATGAATACATATACATATATATATATATATATATTGCATTGTCTCCTGATTGGCTCGCCCAAGGCCTGCCTTTTCTTTGGTGGCGCTCATTTTTTGTAAACCACTGTCCTGAACGTGGTACGGTAGAAAGTACACAAAATGTATTAACTGCATCAGTACAATCGGCTGCATGGATATCTACTTACGTACTTAGCCCTCGTAACTATTGGTGCGATAATGACAGCGTGCCTAATCTGCAATCAATCTGCCCCATCGGAAATATTGATCATTCAAACATCCCATGTCCAATTTCTTTTCTGATTATCGTATATATGATATTCTAATTCTTTTTCTATATGCGTGGAGTCGCCATCTGTACTTCATATACAAGTCTATGCTTGCCATCCAAGTGTATACATGTTGCTTGGCAAATATCGCACAATGCGTGGTGGTAAGCCAGAGTGAAAACTATATATGTATGCGAGGAACGCCAGTCCATGCATTATCCACAAATCTTTGCCTCAACCGGCAGATGCCCAAGGACACACACACACACACCCACACGACCAACCAACCAACCAACCAATGTGTCTGCATAGCATACGTTTGCAAATCTATATCTTGCCACGACAAACAATCTACTATGATGCGCATACGTATTATACATATTACTAGGATAATGTGTTTATAGATAGAGATGTATCACACATACCAATACTAGTACACAAAGTATACACACTCATTGCCACGCTGAATACTATTGTACATGCCACCATCATTGTTGCTCGGAAATTACTTGATAGTATCATCCGTGAACGTATAATGTAGTGACACATGATCATGATATGTATGTCTACACTCAGGCTACCTTGACAATGGCTATGGGTTGTTGACCGTCACTCATTTCATTATTCATATTTGTTTGACCACTTACGGCTACCTCAACCACTTATGCATTATTGCCAAAAATTGTTGGCATATGCCAGCGGCGCGCTCATGCCAAGCAGATCCTATTAAGCTGTATATGTATATATATGTATATATATGTATATATACATACATACATACATACATACATACATACATACATACATACATACATACATACATACATACATACATACATACATACATACATACATACATAGGGTGCCCCTGTTTGCACGTTGCATTCCCACAAATGGCGTGGCAGGTTGTATATAAATGAATACATATACATATATATATATATATATATTGCATTGTCTCCTGATTGGCTCGCCCAAGGCCTGCCTTTTCTTTGGTGGCGCTCATTTTTTGTAAACCACTGTCCTGAACGTGGTACGGTAGAAAGTACACAAAATGTATTAACTGCATCAGTACAATCGGCTGCATGGATATCTACTTACGTACTTAGCCCTCGTAACTATTGGTGCGATAATGACAGCGTGCCTAATCTGCAATCAATCTGCCCCATCGGAAACATTGATCATTCAAACATCCCATGTCCAATTTCTTTTCTGATTATCGTATATATGATATTCTAATTCTTTTTCTATATGCGTGGAGTCGCCATCTGTACTTCATATACAAGTCTATGCTTGCCATCCAAGTGTATACATGTTGCTTGGCAAATATCGCACAATGCGTGGTGGTAAGCCAGAGTGAAAACTATATATGTATGCGAGGAACGCCAGTCCATGCACTATCCACAAATATTTGCCTCAACCGGCAGATGCCCAAGGACACACACACACACACCCACACGACCAACCAACCAACCAACCAACCAACCAATGTGTCTGCATAGCATACGTCTGCAAATCTATATCTTGCCACGACAAACAATCTACTATGATGCGCATACGTATTATACATATTACTAGGATAATGTGTGTATAGATAGAGATGTATCACACATACCAATACCAGTACACAAAGTATACACACTCATTGCCACGCTGAATACTATTGTGCATGCCACCATCATTGTTGCTTGGAAATTACTTGATAGTATCATCCATGAACGTATACAATTTCTATATACATCATTCTCAGATAATGACACGCATGGCAAACCTTAATCTCATCAGCGAAACCGGTCCGATCGCAACATTCCAGAAATCCACAAACCTGGGTAAAATCGCAGAAAAGAAACAATCATACATTGTTTCCGATTCACAGTTGTCACAAAGTGGAACTTACAATTACTATATACATCAATCTCTAATTATGCCAAC